TTAGGAACAAAGGGCATCGCTACTAGGAGCAAGGACGCTACTAGGGGCTCCGCCTTACTACTAGGAGCAAGGACGCTATTAGGAACAAAGGGCATCGCTACTAGGAGCAAGGACGCCACTAGGGGCTCCTGGCCTTACTAGGAGCAAGGACGCTATTAGGAACAAAGGGCATCGCTACTAGGAGCAGGGACGCTACTAGGGGCTCCTGGCCTTACTACTAGTAACAAGAAGCTATTGGGAAAAAAGGGGCTACCACAGGCTCCTGGCCTTACTACTAGGAGCAAGGACGCTATTAGGAACAAAGGGCATCGCTACTGGGAGCAAGGACGCTACTAGGGGCTCCTGGCCTTACTACTAGGAGCAAGGCCGCTATTAGGAACAAAGGGCGTCGCTGCTAGGAGCAAGGACGCTACTAGGGGCTCCTGCCCTTACTACTAGGAGCAAGGACGCTATTAGGAACAAAGGGCATCGCTACTAGGAGCAAGAACGCTACTAGGGGCTCCTGGCCTTACTACTAGGAGCAAGGACGCTATTAGGAACAAAGGGCATCGCTACTAGGAGCAAGGACGCTACTAGGGGCTCCTGGCCTTACTACTCACGAAACTTGCGCAACGCATCCGTGCTTCCCATGGCCCTTCACCGTGTTGGTGGGTGCCAGGGAGTGTGGTGAGATATCATGGTGTGAAGTGATAACGACAAAACTGTACAAAACAAAGTCATCTATCTAAGTGAAACCGAATGTCCGCGCAGCACTTAGTGTGACTCTGATGGATGAATTATGAATTATTGGCCAAGGCGATTGCAACGAGATCAAGATTACCCTTCTTGTGCCAAGTCTGTCGGAGATAGCGACGGTACAAAAACCGCTGAGCAAATGTCAAATCATCGGGCGCAGGCGCTAAGAAATGTGACGTGGCATATTGCATGGGGACGAGCCCGTCGGGGTGATATGGGGGTTTGCAATGTAACTGTTCCGCATATCGAATCAAGGTACGTTGGACGGCATCGGAATTCGGGATTTCAGGACGTCGAGCGAAACCCCCAGTATAAGCACGGCTCCATCCGACCTGAGTCAAACTAGACGATCCAGTTTTAGAATAAATTGGCAGAAGTGGACCATCGGAATATCGTTGTAGGTAAAGGACAATGGTGCGAAAAGCCTCTGCCTGTTCGCGTAAGGATCTTCTTGGAATAGGGAGCGCTAAGACCTGAGGATCTTCAATTTAAAGGTCGAGGTCGTGACTGGGCATCTGTTCGGACCCAGGTAGGGAACTGCAGGCCAGTATTAACAATAAAAGCAATTGCCAACTCAAGCCACGTGATGCCAGCAGAAGTGATCAGGTCGGTGTGGGGTACATCAGCCGCTGGCCATTTAAGGGCGGCACAAAATCGAAGGACCAGATCTGCATATTGGTTGCCCCACACGCATGCTTTAAGGAAGGCAGTATGAATGGCAGGCTGAAGGCGATACCCTGGTGGTCTTGCGATGCAGGAATGGAGGTGTCTGCTTGATCTTTTTGCTTTAGTTTAGCATGTTCAAGGTTGAGATCCAGATCAACCACCACTGGATGATCAGTTTGTCTTGCTCGCACTGCCGCATGGTCGGCCCATGCATTACCCACAGCGTCTTGCCGCAAAGGCCCAGGGGGTATGTCTTCCAGTTTCTGATGTGAGCGGACTTTTCTGATCGAAAACTGATGAGCGTTCCAGTGTCGAGTTAAAATTTGCAGCAGGTCAGCATTGGCTAGCCGATACCAAGTCGGGGACTGATTGGGCCTGGTCACTTGCGCAATACTATCGATGACATATTGAGAATCGGTAGTAATAGTAACATGTTGAGACCAGTGATGGTCGGCGGCATGATGTACGATCCAAACCACGGCAGCAAGTTCTGCCCGTGCGATTGACTGATGGCCCTCCACATGCTGAATTTTGATCGTCACGTAGGGAGCTGTGGTGGATTCGGGCTGACACTGAATAACAGACCAGGCAGCGCGCCTCGTTTCAGGTTGTAAAGGAGTATCTGCGGAGCCATCGGTGTAAAAATAAATCGTATCGGCAGCAAGTTGGACTTGAGTATGGCCTGTATCTTGACCCCGACAATGAAACAACTGGCGCAGAGTTATAATATCCGGGAAGGCCAATGGCAAGGGTTGCCAAAGCTTGGATGAATGGTGGTTAAGGTAACTGATCGCCTGTGGATGTCGTTCCCTAGCGGCCGCAAAAGCTGGGCAATGGAGCTCCTAATGAGCATGAGTATCAGGTTGACCACAAAATGGGCAGAGTTCACTGACTGTACTGGTCCACAAAGCTTTCACGGCGCCCACCTGGTAGCCTCCAGTCAAGTTGTAAGCGATTTGTTTGATGGTGGTGGCCGACATTGACTTTAAAACGCGAGACAGTATGGCATAATCAAAGGGAAGACGATCGACTCCTTTACGATGACAAATCTGGCGGTTGAGATGATATGCCCATGCCTGACGTAATATATGCCGAATGTGTGTCAAGGAGTCAGGTTGGAGGGAGACAGACAAATAGCCATCAAGAGTCAACTGCCCGGTATGCGACAAGTCCCATCCTAGCGCACTAAGATACCTGGCAAGGGCGCCCGCTGGACCAACTGCCGGGCCAGTGTGGTTAGTGACCGCATTTAGGAAGTCATGCGCTAAACTGCTGTTGGTATGAAACAATCGGCGCAGGAAGGACAAAGCTGTGGATACAACGTATAACATGGGATCTTGTAACTGGGTGGTAAAAACATGTACGGCTAACCAGCTGGAAATATGGTTTTCAGGTCCAACCAACGCGGCAGCTGCCTCTCTACGCAATGAGCGGAAATGTTTATCGCCCACCACCTGAGTTTCTGCTCCATAAAATGCAGCGATGCTTGAGCACTAATTTTAGTAGGAAAACCTGGAAGAATCTTGTCTTCCTGAGCCTTAAGTCTCTTGTACAGATGGGCGCCAGACTTAAATTTTGTATCCAGTTCCATTTCATGTTTACGTGATAATCTTCGAAGTTTAGCTTCATAACAGCAAAATGCGTCGGCATCATACTGCGTGATCTGCCGAAGGCTATACAAAAGATCGAAGGATGGCAGTGTGTAGGGTACAGCAGAGATAGATTCGAATTGCAAAATCCAGTGCATCCAAGAGTTACCATATCCCTGGGCCCTACGAATGGCATTCCATAACTGGTTTAAATCCACGAGTGTGGGATCTGGCCACGGGTCTGTCGTGGAACATTGATCCAGGTGATGCTTATGATACAGTCGTTCAAGGCACCGGAGGCGTCTAACTTGACGTGTTTTATGACGACTTTTCAAGGATGTAGTCTCTGCAGGTGGTTCGTATTGCCCGGTAGTATCTCGTTTCGGTGATCTAGGACAGGTATTGCGGATCAAACGGGGAGTGGAGCAGCGTCCCCGGTAATTACGCGGTAAAAAGCGTTGTGAATGGACCACCGGGTTGCCAGCATGTTGAATTTGAAGAGTCCGATCGACTGCTTTCTCAACTTGTGAGGACCATCGGCAAAAACATGCATGGACATCAGCAGGGGTGGAGACAACCGACTGTGGATGAATGAGTGACTGGTCCGAACGGGCTTGGCGATACTGAGTATCGAGTATCTTGCTGTCCACCTGAAAGATTGTCCATGATTTAGGCACGAACCATGAGAAAGACTGAGTAGTACGTGTTGGTATGTCAAGCTGAACATGGACTGCCCTATGGTCGGCAAACTGATGTTCAGGACCTATATCAAAACACGACCTCAGCTTATTTTCCCACGCGTTGCAGAATGTTTGTTTACATTTCAACATGGTTGTATCTCCTACTTGCCTCTCGGGGCCCCGACTCTCTGTTCCCTCACCAAACCGACAGGAACAGAGAGCCCCCCAAGTGCCT